AAAAGTTGTAACATGACTTGGGAATTGGTTAAATTAATATAGTTTAGTTTTGTAAATAACCATATTGGCTTTTTAAAACGTTTTTGTGGCATTTCCAATAATTTTAAATTGGCCTTATTAAAAAAAATGTGGAAGAATGTCTGTAAAATTGCATAGAAATAATTAAAAATGACTGCCAAGTACTTGCAGTTTTATTATATATGCCTGAGCATAGGAGACAAGTAAAATAAGCAAACGTTAGCAAACAAACAAGATGGCTTGCTGAATATAAGCAGAGAAGTAAGCAGGATGCTTCAATACCATCAAATGAAACAATTCTCTGTGCTGATGAAAATGGAGAACAAATAGCTGTTGCCCAAGATGGAAAAGATAGAAGTTATGGATTTGTTTTATACAGAGAAACTAACATTTTTATAGCATTACCGGACATTTTCAGAAGGTAAAATTCCAAGAGCAGTTTATATGCTTTTAAATCAAGCATAGATTTACCAAACTAAATGTTGTCCAGTCACAAAAATAATAGCAGATTTGCACCCGTCACATTCAAAAACGTTTTAAGACCCCTCGCTCAAGAAATTTGCAAAAATAAAGTTTCTCCCCTAAAATACATTTTAATACTTTCCCCCAATTCTGTAGTGTATTGGATATATAAAAATAACATTTGAACAGTGCAGGAGGGAGAATGCATTACTTAAATACAATAGTAAAGAGCATTTGGAGTTTTTCGTCAATTTAATGGTATAATTCTTGTTAAATATAAAAATAAACAGAGATAGACACATCCAGCAAAATACCGTATATTGTAGACCCAGCAAATAATTATCAGTACGGATGATTCCAATCTTCTCAGTTCAACTTCCTCAGGCTGTAACTATTGTAAATCTCTAATGGCTCTATTTTCCAGCTTGATTTATATACCAGATTTTCATTCCCTCCCAAACATTTAGCCAATCAAAAGGAAAATAAAATCCTGACTAAGTTTCCATTTCTCCTTAATTGTCACCCTGAAACAATGACCTCCCTTTGAAAAACTTATTTATGTGTACTTTTAACTTTCATATTCAAAACATCCACCTATGAACTTTTGACCTTCCTGTGCAGAAGAGCCTCTAAAACAGAAATCACTTATTTTGCCTCATATATATTTCTCCTAAGTAAAGGTGACTCCCGCCCGGAAACCAACGTCCCCACTGTGGAAGGATGTGTGGATCCAGAATTGGCCTCCACAGTCACTTACGGACTCACTGTTAAAACCGTGTTTATGGAAGACAAACTAACTTGGCTATGAGTGATTGCCAAAGAAGAAATATATTTCTCCTAGGTTCTTCCCTCTTTTTTGATCTTCAATTGGCCCAGCCAATTTTCCATTTTGGGTAAAGTGGTGTGGCATTCATGCATGCAATGAAAGATCTCGGGCCTCCACCGCCCTTCAAGAAACCCAAATCCTGCTTTTACTTTGAGTTTTAGTAATTTAACAGAAATCTATTGTTTTCTGCCCTGCCCTGTGTTTGTTGCATGCATCACTGTTTACATCCCACTGCAGTTTACTTTCTGCAAAAAACAAACACCCCAGCTTTCTGCTGTGGCAAAATCACACAGCTTACATAATTAATGGAACTAATTACCTAGATTTTGTTATTATTGTGTTAGTCCATCCCATTATTTTCACTGCAAAGGAAACACAATGCAAGTATATGTGTAATAAATTGCATATCATTTGCAACTTGAAAAAAAAACACAACAATGGTAACTATGGGTTGTATTCCATGAATCCATTTCTGTTCTGGACATGGAACACAGAGCTTTTAGATCTTTTAGATAGTAGGTGGTCTATAAATGGAAATAATAATAACCACCACAATAAATGAACTTAGGTGATTTCTGGTCCTATTTGCATTTTTGACAGAATTTTCTGATATCTCCAGTGGAAATTAACCCTTTTGCCCCCTTCTCCCCATAGCAGCTCCCCAGGCATCCCACAATGGGGCAAGTGAATGTTATGCCATTTTCTTCTTTTCCCCTAAAACGACTTAGAAATCTGAATTTTGAAATGGGTGACGGCTGAGATTTTAATGCTGTAATAGTGTATAAAGACCAGAATGTCATAACTGAAGAAGGGAGTGGACTAGAAATCTGAAAGACATTTTAAACACACAGAGAGGAATACAAGAAAGCTGAATGTTAGGCACAATTTTGCTAGAGGTAAATGGAAAGATATTCTTCATTTATAAATGGTTCACTGACCCATAATAATAAAGCAGTATTGCAGAAGAAGAGTAATTATCTACTTAAGCGTCAGACTGCCTGAGGAAAAGGGTTCCCTTCTTCCCTTTTGAAAAATGAACTTGGATTAAACAAATGTATCTCTTCCTGTTTTTTTAGTGTTGACATGCATTTCCCTTCTTCTTCGTCTTCTTTTTTAACAAGCAAAATTAATTAGTTTTCCCATTTCTCCATTCCTAATATGGAAATCAGGAGTGCAGTGCAGCTTCCCTGCTTCCCCCGTGGGCTCTCACTTCAACCAATAGCGTCATTTATGAAGGCACTTTCTACAGCACGCTGGAAAGACTAGCAAATAAATTACTAGAGCTTTATTAAGCCCAACAGCGCCTGTTGCTCAAGGCAGAGAAATAACCTCCCAGAACCGCAAAAGAAATCCCATCAGAAAATAAACTTACTGCTTTCTAATATCTCTTAGGCTAAAATTTCCCAGATACTTTGGAGTCTACATGTATAGGATTGCTTTGTAAAGCAAGTTTGCACTGTGTTTTTTAAGGTAACTGTCCCTTGGATTACAGCCTCAGATAGCATTTTAGACTAGGGATGTTTACTTATCTAGTTTGGCACTTCAGAAGGACTTGGTTTAGTGCTTCAGCAAACAGCCCAGTTTGGACTGGAGTGCCGTGAAGACTTCCTAATTTGGTTTGGGTTTGAATCTGAATTCTAGTTTGGGGGGGAAAACCTTCTTCATTCCCTATTATGGGCAAAATCTAAAACAACTACAACTCCTGTCCTTGTTTTAACAGGAATTGAATAAAAGGCAGTGTAGCTCCTCCTAAGTAGACAAAGCCCTTCAAATAGATCCAAATAGTTTTGTAATGGACACCTTTTGATATTTTTAAAGGAACAATTTTTTAAAAATTGTATTATGATTTGGTTGGGAGGAGAAGTAGCAGAAATTTGCAAAATTTCTCTCTCCTTCAGAGAGATGAATCCTGCCAAATTTCAGAAGGGTAGCTGCACTAGTTTTCCTTTACATCTTTGCAGTGTTTTTTAAAAATGTTGCATTTAATTATTTTCTCTTGGTTTGTGGGCAGTGCCTATAAAAACAGCGGGCACAAGAAAGGGCCCCCAGCTAAGAAACCTGTTAAATTACTGGCAGATTAGTCCATAACCTTTTGAACTAGAAGTCTTTAGGGTGCCAGAGAGTTGAAATGGGAAGATGGAAAATAGTCATAACATGGACAAAATTTCTTTATTGTGGCCATGTTGTTCTGATGCTCGATATCATTTAGGCGCTGACAAATTAGACTGTTTGCTTTACTAAAACCCAAAGTGAGTAGCTGTTGTGGTGATAAACCACAAGAGTGACTTTTTGATAGACAATTACAGCTTGAGAAGCTTTGGAGAGATACTGCTTCAGTGTATGCAAGCCCCAAATCTGTCTGAACTGGCCTGCTTCAGTTCTTGATTTGGGATTCATCCAAATCGAATGCACACCCTTATTTTAAAACTCTGAGGTTGCGGCGCTGCACCTACTTACCTTGGAATAATTTTCCTTGGGACTTACTTCTAAGTAGACATGCTTAGGACTGTACAGTAATGGTGCAACCCTAAACAACTCACTTTGAAAAAAACAGGACTTACTGCCAAGTAAATATGCATAGGATTGCAACTGTGCAATTTTACATCAGCTTACTTGGGAATAAGCCCCACTGGGCTCAATAGGACTTGCATCTGAATAGTCACATATAGGAATCTGCTGTACAAAACTTTTATATCTTAAGAGACCAGATGATCCTAATTATGGCACCTGAAATGTGCCACAGCAAAAATCTCTAATTATACAGTGAGGGCCCGCAAATTATATGCTCCAGAAATTACAGTTGTATGACCAAAATATATTAACATTTGCAAATCTAATCAGTTATGGCAATAGAATTATTGGCCACAAGCCACTACAGATCTGAAAATGCTTAAGCCCACTGAAGTCACAGCTCTGATCATGGAAGTTGTGTAATCCAACAGTCACAACTGTTACTAGCAATGTTCATAATCCCCACCACTAGGGTTGCCATATTTTAAAGTGAAAATTCAGACACAAAAGACTAAAAATAAAATTGAAGTTTTTGTTGAGCTTTTTTTAATGTAGAATCTCAAAAACAACAACAAAAAACTCCAAACCAAACCACAAACCTGACGTTTTTGAGCTATTTTAAAGAAAATTTGATTTTCCCCAACATTGGTGCAATTTCTGCCCAACCACTGCTTGTGACTACTGAATCATGGCAATATCCAGACATATGGCAACCCTACCCACCACCACCATTCAGAATGTGAATTTATGCAGCCCAAAATGCTTGGATGTGTTCAAAAAATGAGTGCTGTTTTCTCCAGGAAGATAACCTACTGCTTGGAATATAAAAGGGGATTCTACACATGTGTGTTCAACTGTTCTTCGAGATTTTCATCTATTTTCTATCCAAGTCTTCACTGCTTCAGGCAGAGCATTGTGGAATTCCCCAAAAGCTGACTTTTCAGACTCACTCAGTCATTTGTGCAGCTTGAAATATTTGAAATGGAGTGCTTGGTCAAAGCATTCAGACAAATAATGCACAGATCTTCTTTCCGCAGGTGCTGAATTCCCATCAAGATCACAGAACTTGGGTGTTTGGGGCTGTTTGTTAGGTATATGAACATACTGTTTAGAATGTTGAAGGGAAGGGAACGTTCTGGGATGGAATAATATGTCAGTTGTGCCTTAACATTATGCAAACCAGATGTTCTCATTTGCCCACTCCGCCCTGTGGAACGATTCCGCGATCTGCGCCCTGAAGAAGTGGCTGATTTATTTCGCACAACGCAGTTGGTTGGAAATGTAGTGGAGCAACATTTTGGTGGGACTTCACTCACCATTTCCGTTCAGGTTAGTAAACACTTCTGCCGTGCCTTCTTTCTCGTGCGCTTCCACAACCTAGAACCCTCCAGATGTTTTGCACTAATTACTACTACTACTGCTACTACTACATTCATATACCATCCTACATCTGTAGATCTCAGGACGGTTCACAGCATAAAATTACAATATGAAAAACACATCATACATAACAAAAATAAGAACAAAAACAAACCAATAACTCCCACTCCCATAACACATTTAAAAGGGCATCGTATGTCAATCAATCCAAGGCCTGGTTGGAGAGGAATGTTTTCACCTGGCACCTAAAGGTGTACAATGAAGATGCCAGGTGAACTTCCCTGGGGAGAGCATTTCACAGACGGAGCCACTGCAGAGAAGGCTCATTCTCGTGTTGCCACCCTCTGGACTTCTCGAGGAGGAGGCAGACGAAGGAAGGCCTCAGAAGATCTCAGGGTCCAGGTCGGTTCATATGGAGAGAGTCAGTCTTTGAAGTATTGTAGTCCTGAGGCGTTTAATGCAGTTAATTAACAAAGTTATGTGGATGGCCTGTTTTTCAAAACCCAATCCATGGAGCCCCTACTTTTGAAAGTTTTGATATCTCTATGGCAGTTTTTGTTATGGGAATGGTGCCATGGACCCCCTGGGTGGGTTACACAGCTCCCCTGGGGGCCACAGGCCACCAATTGAGAACCCCTGGTTTAAGGCCACATACACATTTTTAAACATCTGGTCTTTGTCCTTACTTTGTCCTTACTTCCTTACTTGTTTGTGCTTTGCTGGTTGGCAGCAGCCATTTTGGGGCAGAAACCATGGCAAGAGTGGGGAGAGAGATCATGATTAGAAATTCCCCCATAGGAAATAATGGAGATCGTCAGCTCATTACGTGAACGCTTGCCTAATGAACTATTTCCCGGAAACACATTGTGGCTGATAAGCGGGACTACTAAAATCTAAATAACAACACCACTTTGGATCCAGTGGTCACCTCTGATACCCCAGTCCTTTTGTTAAAACCATGTTGTGCAAAGATGGCCAGTTTGCCACACCACTCTTCGTCTGCCAACAGCTGACTTTCCTTTTACAAATAGCACCCATCAATCTTGGTGAGCACCATAGTTATTGGGAGCATTTATGATACGAGATGCCAAGGGCTGGGGGAATAAATGTGGCAGCCTTTATTTCTCTTAAGACCACCTTTCCCTATTGATGAGGACCTGAAATAAAAAGGTGTCTGTTCCCGAAAGCTTTGGCGCCAAATCATACCCACGAGAGCGCTATAAATTAATGCACAATGAAATTGGATTTAAATTATTAATGGGCGATATTTTTGAATACCCAAGAGAGACTCGTCGGCTGCTCTTATCTCAGTCTCCTCCATCCCCTTCTCTTTCTTCTCATCTACAGGACGGTCCTGAAGCTGGACAGACTGTGAAGGTGAGTGCTTATTTTATTATGCAGAGTACAAATTAATAAGAGACAATTATGAGAACTAATAAAACCAGTCAGCTGCAGCACATTGCAGCATTGCTATTTTATCCTTGAAGCTGGAGGGATCCCGAATCTTCTGTGCGGCTGTAAATAGATTGATTGAAAGGGAATATGGTGCAATATGGTTACACCTCACCACCTCTCCAGTCTTAAGCAGTGACTCTTGACCGCTGGTCCATGGAACGGCTCCATCTCGGCACACTGCTGTCTTCTGCGTCCGGGACCTCCACGGCCAGGTGGGGATCTTAAGAGCCTGGCTGGGTCAGACTCTCAGTTCAGCTAGTCCAACAATTTGTTTCTCACAGTGGCCAGACAGAAGCAAGGCAGGAAGGCAACAGCTCTTTCCCTAGTGTATTCCCTTGGTATACAGGGAAACTATCTTTGAGCATGGACGGTCTGTTCCACTGTCATAACTAATACCTATCCTCCATATGCTTGCACAATCCATTTGTTTGTGTGGGTGTGTGGCTGCCCTTCTGTGACAGTGAGTTCCAGAACCTAAGTATTGCTATTGTGGAAATAGGTATTTCTTTTGGTCTGTCCTGAACCTGATGGGTCTGTCAATCCACTTTTCAGTCGGTGACCTTGAGTTCTTGTTATATAATAAACTTCCTTCCCTCCCCACCTTGATTTTCCACAGCCAGCCAACAGCCACCTTCTTTTATCAGAAGGTCCCCATGTGGATTATAACAATCGAAAGAAAAGAAGTTAAAACAGATTACAATCACAGGAATAGGGTGGATTCTGAAAACACTCATATCAAGTGTCAAAGACCAGGGTAAAGAGATGCGTCCAGCATTCCACAAAAGCTGTATAGTGAAGCATGCTAATTGGAATGGACTTTGGTCTTATTTGTGCACAAGCAAGTATGTCTCCTCATAAGTTAGCACCCAGTGGTTTGCATCTGAGCTTTTGAGATAACGTCCTGAAGAAAAGATGGCGTTTGAAGCATTGGGAGATGCTAGGGAAACTCTGGGTGTGGCGTTTGGTCTGCCATAGCTGTTCCACACATGCAAGTCATCACTTTAACATTGCAGTCAAGTGTTGAAACCTCAGCAAACACCAAAATACACACCCACTGTTGGAGTTAACCCCTCGAGGGTTGTGGCAGCTGAGGGTGGGGCATCCCGTGGTGTGTCTGAAGCCTGTCTGCTGTGGCCAAGTGGTCGAGGATCTTCATAACATAAAACAGCCCAATGGGATCAGGCCCCTCGCCCACCTAGTCCAGCCTCCTAGTCTCACAGTGGCCGACCAGTTCTTGCAGTGTGGGTTGAATGTGAGCTTCTTCACTTTTTCTGCTGCCTGACTTCATTTTCTAATAATAATAATAATAATAAATTTATTATTATTTATACCCCACCCATCTGGCTGGGTTTCCCCAGCCACTCTGGGCAGCTTCCAACCGAATATTAAAAACAACACAGCATCAGACATTAAAAACTTCCCTAAACAGGGCCGCCTTCAGTTGTCTTTTAAAAGTAAAATAGTTGTTTATTGCCTTGACATCTGCTGGGAGGGCATTCCACAGGGCAGGAGCCACTACCGAGAAGGCCCTCTGCCTGGTTCCCTGTAACTTCACTTCTCGCAGCGAGGGAACCGCCAGAAGGCCCTCGGCGCTGGATCTCAGTGTCCGGGCTGGATGATGGGGGTGGAGACGCTCCTTCAGGTATACAGGACCAAGGCCGTTTAGGGCTTTAAAGGTCACCACCAACACTTTGAATTGTGCTCGGAAACGTACTGGGAGCCAATGAAGACCTTTCAGCGGGAGGCAGAAATGTTTCTGAATACCAGTTGCTGGAGACCACAGGAGGGGAGGCTGCTCCTGTACTCGATTTCTGCTTGCTGGTTTCCCACAGGCATCTGTTTGGCCGCTGTGAGAACAGGATGCTGGGACAGCTCTTGAATTTAACCCCTCGAGGGTTGCGGCACCCTGTTTACCAGCCAGCTCTTCCTATGTTCTCAATCCAGTGGGCCACTGGAGAATGTCATTGCCACTCTGCATCTACGGCATCTCCGGGCCCCTCCTTTAGCTGCTTGGCAAATGTATTTTTCTCTCTGGGCACAACTTCAGCCCTTGTCCCTGGAGGGCTGTGTCTATGTACGCTCTCTGCTGTCATCTTGTGGGTCTTGCGCCGTGCCTCCTTTCCTTAAACCTCTGTGTGGCACACATTCAACACTGCTTGTAAGAAGATAAAGGATTTGAACTCCTACCTGCACTGATTCCTGGGGATTTGCAGTAACATGGCCATTGTTGTTGTGCCACTGAGGCTGATGGGGCAGTGATGTTGTGGTCTTGCTGTTTGTGGGGGTGTGGGGGTGGTGTGATGCAGTGGATGTCCTGGGGGCATGCATTGAGGTCTGTACAATATGTAAGTGGCTTTGCTGGGCTCTAGCGGTGTTCCAAGGGGATGAGTCTGTCAATTTTTAAAATGCATTTTTTGGATTTTCTGGTTGTGTGTGTTTCCCCCTTCCCTTCCTGGGCTGACCACCCATTGAATATGGCAGCTGTTTCTCAAGAATAGGAGTGGCCTATCTCTGTTCCTGGTGTAATGTGAGTATAGGATTTACCCGTTAAAGGCCCTGTTAGGGTTGATTAAGACAACACTAACATCTGACAACAGCAAATGGAAGCAATTCTCTTCCTTTCCATTTGCTGCATTGACCTTATTTGTGGGATAGTTTGCGTTACCGCCTGGGAATAGCTAGCGGGGATAGAAGAAGAAAGAGAGTGTGTGTGTGCGCAGGGAGAAAGGACAACAACTACAACTTTTAGTTTACCTCAGATGGAAGGATAGGGCAAAGATTCACAAATCTTACCAAGGAAGCCCAACAATGAAATCCCATTCTTTTCTTCATTTACTGCCTTTCCCATTCATGGCCTTGAAATTACTCCTCCTTGTCCAATCCACTTCTGCACCACAGTGGTCCCATGAGGTCTACTGCCACTGGTGCAGTGTTTGACTGGTAGCTTTTCGCCTACCCACTATCATCCCCCCCAAAAAACAACCTTTCTGTATTGCCAACATGGCACTCACGGATATCAGCAATCCCACTAGTACCTTCCATGGCACTTGAAAAAGGTCACAGCAAATATCTCCACAAAACCCACTATACACAAGATACTGTTTGCTCTTCCTGTTTAGTTCCTGTTTGCACTGGCTTTGCGTCACCTATATTAGAAATTCCACCTCAAACATGACAACATTTCATTGAATATGCAAACTCCCTTCCATTCTGAAAAGTGGAGAGATGCAACGAGCTTCTCTCTGTGAGCGAGTGCAGCAGAGCCTGACACATGTGCCTTTTCCCATTTTTTGAGAGGCCATTTTTTAGATACAGCAGCCATTTTTGTTACACCACACCCCTCACAACAGCCATTTTCTGTTATGCCGCATACCCATGGCAGCCATTTTGTTTTATACCACACAACCCATGGCAGCCATTTTGTGACTGGGGACCACCGTCTCATAATTCCAGATGTGCTCACTGGTGTATAAAGTTTGACAGTCTTGCCGTATTCAAATTAATCTTGCAAATCCAACATAGGCAGCGGGGCACAACTTTAAACAATGTTAGTATTTGGCACAAAGGGACATTAACCATTTCCCTTTCCTCATGTCATGAACAGACATTCTTTTCCCACTCCTTCCCGTTGTTTAGATGAAGAGCACCACTTCTCAGCACCATGCGGAGGCTATTGCAAATGATAACCACTTTGTGACTGACTCCCCACTGCTGCCATAAAGCATAGAGCCAGCCATTGAGTTCTTCTGGAGGGTGGCATGGCAAGTTCCCACACCAATGCTTTGACTTGTGGGTAACAGGGATACGGAAATTTTCTGTAATGGGCTCTGGAATGTCACTGAGGCTGGTAGTTCATAGTGTTGCATGCATCCTAATCTTGGAGCAGCAAGAGACTCCAGGAATCCCAGTGCTTACTCAGGGTTCAATTTCCTTGGAATGCAAGTTAATGGAAACTGTGGTGTCTTTAGGCTAAAACTGGTTTTATTTGCACATATATGCAACCTGAGCATGGGATGGAGGGGCTCAGAAATTTCAGAAATAGACTGGAAAGAGAAGTTGCTGAATTACAACTTATTACCAAACTTAAAACCATGGGGAGACCTGGTCTGAATAGAGACATTGGATTCTTATCTCATTATACATGATAAAGCTATTTTTAGCCATCTCACCCCTTGCTTTTTCCTGTAAGACCAACTGCAGTCGTTAACAGTCAACAGGTTTACCACACCTATCAGCTAATCGCCCATTCCCACCACCCTTCTGATTATATCCCTCCCCACCCTCTCACTATATATAAGGGTCTGGTGACTTCTGTTTCAGTGTATCTGAAGAAGTGTGCATGCACACGAAAGCTCATACCAAGAACAAACTTAGTTGGTCTCTAAGGGGCTGCTGGGCAATTTTTTTTATTTTTTAAAATACATTTATATTGTTTTATTGTATTTTTAATATTTTGTTGCAAGCCGCACAGATGGGCGGGGTATAAATAATAAGGCATATGAATGGACATGTGAATGGCAGCCCTTAACTGGCCATCTGAGCCCATTATCTTACAAAGAAACTTCTCTGACCAGTTCAGCAGCCTCTTCTGCTAGATTCTAAACCTCCTTGGCCTGCAAGGGACCTGCAAATATAAACCAGACTGACACACACATGCTGAAACCTATAACAAGACATATTTTGGCTATTGCAGGGGTAGGTCATAACTTCCAGTGGTCTCATAGCAGTGCTTCTGATGTGCTAAGTCTCTATATCAGCCTGTGAGAGAAGGATGTCGCAGTTGACTAGGCACCACATTCTGAAATTATTACCGCAGTGGTTTGAAAGGCAGGGTTGATTAACTAATCACAGTTTGAACCATGCGAATTTAAATCTGCGGCAGGCTGTGATGACCTCACTGTTGGGCTATAGGATTCCCTGCA